ACACTTTTGGGTGGTGTTTGTGCTGTAACAGGATCCTAAGATCTCATATCCTCAACCTGCAGCTCGAACCAGAGAGTGGGAACTGGAAACGGTGTGCTCATGTAGAGTATGAAAGCATACCCCCAGTGACATATTTCCTCCAGCAGGTCATCATTTCCTAAGTCATCTCAAATGATACCATCAACTCACAAGTATTGATTCCTCTGACTTCAAGCCTACACACTGGCTTTCTGTTCTATGAAGCAGTTCATGACACTGAAAAACTATAAGTAAGCCTTTATATGCTTCAATATATGGGTTTCAGGAAGGAATGCTTACAAAAGAAACATAGTCATGATTGGAAATGCTTAATGATTTTTGTTAATGTTTATTTTGTTATGTCAGTTTATCTTTAGATATGTGCATGTGATTAGATTGGTTACCCCTTAGTCTTCCTGCATTTATTTCTAACAGGAATTACAAAATGTTGTCAAAAAAACTCACCTGGATTCTGGTCAGGGACTTGTCTTAACTGTTTGTTCCTGTCTTTATCCTTCTCAATGTTGTAGACCAGTGGATCCTCTGTAATAGGAATTACGGGAAATTGTCAAAAACCTGACCTTTGTCCTGGGAATGAACTTTTAAGTGGTTGGCTATGTCTCTAGCCCTATGATATTTCAAACCTTTATATGTCATCTTGACATTAGGAAGTAAGGAGGAACGAGAAAAATCTTCTTCATGTAAACAATATGGTAAAGATTTTACATATCCCAGTTGACTTCAGTTTCAATGAAAATATCTGTTTCATCTATTTCATTATAATGATGAATTATTATATCAAAGCAAGTTTATTGTTTAGCATATTCATGCAAGTATGATGGTTGAGGTCAGAGTATTGCAGTTTCTATTTGGAAAGTTTTGTATTAGGTATTGCAGTGTCCTGTATTTATGGCAAATATGCTTACTGAAGTTTATTTGCTGGTTCATATATTCCTTCTTTGACTCTGTTCATCATCTTTCACATTAAGGTGCCCATGAAAGGGAAGCGGTTTTATTTTTTTATATTTCCACAAATTCCCTTCAGATGTTATTGTTTGTTTTCCATCCAGGTTTGGATGTCAGTAATTAGTCAGGGCTACTTTTGAACTCTTTTTTAAAGATTTTTTTTTATTATGTATACAACATTCTGCTTCCATGTATATCTGCACACCAGAAGACGCACCAGATCTTTTAACAAATGTTTGTGAGACACTCTGTTGTTGCTGGGAATTGAACTCAGGACCTCAGGAAGAGCAGTCAGTACTCTTAACCTCTGAGCCATCTCTCCAGCCCTACTTTTGAACTCTTAAGTCTCATGTTTCTTCCTCCTGAGTTCAAGACCAAGGGAATATGATGTACCCCTGATGTGTGCTCCTTTGTAGACATGTTTTAACAATGTTAATATTAACATGCTTAATAGTACAGCAAATAAGAAAGTACTTCATGTGTCTATTCAAAGTGGCTTTTACATCTTTCTGGTGGAGATACAATCAAATAGAATAATACACAGTCAACTGTGTATCTCATAATATAGTTTGTTGTATTCTGGATATGTACCTAGTTTTTACAATTCCTGATTCTTCATGATCCAGTTTTTCTGCATTTGGAACTCATATTGAAGCATTGCCTCCTAAAGGAATTTTCTAGAGATGCCAGATATTGTAAAGACATTTATTTTTTAAAAAAACATGTCTGGTGTGTGTGTGTGTGTGTGTGTGTGTGTGTGTGTGTGTGTGTGTGTGTGTTGCATGTTTTTGGTGTGTTTTCTTCCTGTATCCATAACTTCATTTGCACTGAGTAATAAGCTATGTTTACTTTCTGTGTTTTCTTTTAGCCCTATTCATATGGTGATCACGGTCAGGTTGCCAAACTTACACACCACAGACATTTTTCCTTCTGAGGCGGCTCACTTGTACTCAAATAAGCCTAGAAACATTACATCAGTAAAATACAGTATTCTATTCAAATTATTATTATATTGTCATTTAAGAAAAGAGCAACACAATATATACTTATGCTGCCATCTTTCTGTATTTTTGTCAGTTTATTCTTGGGGACTAAATACCCAAGCAATGGTGTCCCCAGGATCACACCTATATCCCCATTGTAGGTGGGTAGTGCCTGAAAGGATTATTTGTTTTCTTGGTCACTGTAGGAAAGGGGATCTTTAAGGACGAGGCTCCTACTCCACCTCTGAAGTCTTTTGTAACAGAGCTTTGTGGCAGGTTTGCAAATTTCTCCATTGTAATGCTGCTGAGGGGACAGAGGGGGTCTTCACTGAAGACAAGGCCTCAGCATCTATTTTGGAGACTAGGTGGTGCCCTCCACACTTTTGGGATATGGGAAAGGCCTTGGCTACACTTATGTGGCTGGAGGCTGACCAGCCAGGGTCCCTATGGGCAGAAGGGAGAGGATTCAGCTTTTTATCCCTTCTTCTTCCTGGGATGACGAGTACTCTGGTCAGAATCAAGGCCCTGTGTTCTTTACCACAGGTGCATCCAATGAGTAAAGAGGGTGAGAGATCCTCTACCCACCACCAAGCTGCTCCTGTTCCTAGGGGGTTCTGCAGCCCTTTTTGTAAGTTGTAGCATTAAGCTAATTTGAAAGATGAATCTAGCTGTGCCAGGTAACTCTTAATTGGCTGGCTGACTGACATTTGACATTGGTATGTTGGACTAATAAGTACTGATGCCTTTTTGTGGATAATTTGCTGTATCCTATTCTCAATTTCCTGCCCTTCCCTGACCTCTAAGTGGCACTAACTCTTCACTCCTCCTCCTGTCTCCTCTCCCCCTGCTTTTTCCCCTACTCCCCTCTCCTGACTCTCTGCTTTCCTCCTAGGCTTCCCCTGCAGCTCTCCTCCCTCTGTTCCCTTGCCCTCTGGCTGTCTCCTCCAATTCCTGTAGGGAGACACTGTAGCCCCGCCTCCTAGGAGCTGCCACAGGTGTGCCTGGCCACGTGCATGAGGGCGTGGTCAGGAAGGTCAAGGAAGACATGGGAGGGAATTCTTAAGAGACAGCAAACAAGAGTCCCTTCTCTCTGGCCTCCCCAGCTTGCTGCCCCTGGGCACGCTCTGGCTTGCTTTTGGATGGTGTTTATCTGAATAAGGATATCTTAACCTTATGGACTACAGATCGTCTTCGCTCCTGTTACACCTTCCTCATGCCCCTCTCTTCCCAGTCCTCTGCTCAGGTGCATTTGATCAGGTAACACACAGTTCAGATCTTTACCTGTGCTGTCTTCCCCAAAAATGTGCACGCAAGTGCAGCAGTAGCCAGTGTACAATTTGTTGCACCTGAAAATCCAAATAAAGTCAGGCTGCGGACTTCATTGGGAGTCTTGAGCTGCTGCCTGTGCATTTCAATTTTGTTCCCTTTTGTAATTTGAATTTGGTTTTCTTCATAGAAACCTTGACAATGCAGAGAAGGAGGGAAATATCTGACTTTTGAATGTAACTAGAAGACCAAACGAGGAAAAATGGATGCAAGACAAAGGCAGTGCCCTGAACCCTTCCTCTGCAGTGACCTCTTCAAAGACCTCAGCCATGAAGAGAAGTCAAGCTAAAAGGTAAGGTTACACAAATGGGATGTTGACTTGGAGAAACTAGGGTTAGGGTTAGAATTGGGATTAGGGTTATACTCGCAAATAGGTTTAGGGTTATACTCACAGTTAGGGTTAGGGTTAGGTTTCAGGGTTCAGGAGTAGGGTAAGTATTAGGGTTATGTTTAGGTTTCGGGGTTACTCTTGAGGTTAGGGTTAGAGTTAAAGTTAGGGTTAGGGTTATGGTTTAGGCTTAGGGTTGGTTTTAGCAATAAGCCTAGGGTTAGGTTTAGGGTTACAGGTTGGTATAGGGTTAGGTTTAGGGTTATGTTTAGTGTTAGGGTTTAGGGTTGTGGTTCTGGTTAAGGTT